GGGATGAAGTCTATGGGACCTATGGGTTTTTCCAAGGTCCAAAGGGAAGACCTTGGAAGCTAAACCCTTCCCAGGGGGATCCCTAGGTCCTAACCTGGCCCCTAACTCTCTGTTAGCCCCTTTCTCCTAGAATAACACATTATTCTAACCTAGTGCCTTGCAAAACTTTTTGGGTTTTTTTGGTATCAGGATCCCTTTATAGTCTTGAAAATCATTAAAGACTTCAAAGAGTTTTCCTTAATGTGGATCATATCTAATGCTAGTTACACTATTGGAAATTAAGGCCAGAGGATTTTAAGGATTTATTTACTTATTTAAATTAATAAGAAGATTAAAAAATAAAAAATAAATAAATAAAATAAAAATAAATAAATAAAAATTAAAAAATTAATAAGAAGAAGATGGAGCTGTTGATCAAAGGATATATAATTACAGTGAGATAAAAGTAGAAAAAGTCCAGAATAGGCAAATATAAAGACAAAAAATAAGTAAGTGATTACCTGGGGCCATAGTAGGGTAGGATTGGGAATTAGTTGCTTGGGTGATGAAGATGCTCTAAATTTGACTGTGGTGATGAATGTACAAATCTGTGAACATACTCCAAAAACTTTAAGTTGTATGCTTTTTGTTTTGTCTTGTCCTTCACATACACTAAGCATGTGCTCTATCACTGCTAAACCAGGATTATATATTTTAATGGGTGATTTGTATGATATGTGTGTGTGAATTATACCTCAATAAAACTGTTTTGTTCATTGAAAATAAAATTAATACATATAGGAGAAATAAATTTTTACAAAAATAACAAAATTTTCCAAAAGAAAATAAATGGGGGTCCTTTTTTTTTTTTAACGCAGGTCTCACCACATGGCCTAGGCTAGGCTCAAACTTGGAATCCTGCTGCCTCCAGCTCCCAGAGTACTTGGGATTTCAGGGTTGTGCTACCACACCCAGGTTCCCTGAGGTCTTTAGACCATACTGTTCTGACCTCTTGTATGAATCTCTGCTCATTTTTTTTCTCTTTTTTTTTTTTTTTTGTACTGGAGATCAAATTCGGGACCTTGGGCTTATGAGGCAGGTGGTGGAACCACTGAGCTAATCCCTGGCTCTGTTCATTTTTTTTCAGGGCTGGGGATAGAAACAGGGCTTCCTACGTGCTAGGCAACTGCTCTACCTTGAGCTATACCCCAGCCCTCTGATTACTTTTTGAAACCTATATCCCTTGACCTTCAAGCCCATCATCTCTCATCCCATTGCAACAAATCTTCAAAGCTGCTTATTCAAGCGCAGTCATGTGGAAGCCCCACTTCCTTAAGATAGCATATGTAATGGTGGCCACTGGGTCCAGCAACTCAGTTAGGGAGCAGCTGGTGACTCGAGCCAGTCTGGTCACACCCTCCAAGAGTGACTCCCACCAGTGATGACTCAGCGCACCTTCTGATGAATAATAAGCTCCCAGATTTCTGATAAGGAACTGTCCATGTGCACAGTCCCTAGAAATGATGCTGTTTAGACCCAGGATGAGGAAGATGGGCTTGTCCTCAGTGCTCCCATGCTTTTCAAGGCAAACCAGCCACACCAAGGCTGGCACCTGTAGGGGCTACATCTGGATTTGATTATTCCACCTCCCTCATCCACACTGCAGGCACCAAGCCAAAGCAGAGCTGGAACTCTAGAGGCCCCTCAGGGCAGCACTGGTGCAGCCGTGGGTGCAGTCAGAGAGGAGCCTGGCCTCTGGGGCTACAGATCCTGAGGGTTTGGCTGGCCCCTGTCCCTCCTACCCTGCCCCAGGGGTAGCCACTGGTGAGGGATGACAGTCATCTCCAATAAGCTAGCTTAGGGGAAGGAGCACAAGAGGACACCAGGTCCTCAGGATGTGAGGTGCCCTAAAGCAGCAGGAACATTCTGTGGACTTAGGCGGGGTTGAAATAAAGCAATAAAGCATGCAGCACCCTTTGCTCTGTCCCTATCTGGTGTTACCTGTTGCCGTTCTGCCCACCACAACTGGAATTCAGAAGGAGGGCGTTGGCTGTTACTCAGTTCCCCGGAAATGCCCTTCCTCCTCTCTCCCACCTCTTCTTTCCTTCCCGCTGCCCTCATCAAGCAACAAGCACGGGAAGCAGACAGCACTCCAGAGAGAAATGGTACCACTGACAGCACCAGAGCACCCAGGGTGAAGGGCCAGGGCAGGAGGAAGGAACTCAGGAGAGTGGGCTTTGGGGAGGGCCACTTTGCATCTTCTCAGACCTGCCAAACTGGGTTAGCCAGTGAGGTTTTCTTGGAACTTCCAGAATGGAGTGGCCTCAACCAACCCAGAAATGTAGGGGTCTGGAAAGATGGGTAAGGCTGGTAAGAACATAGGAAACCCAAGCCACCATTTTTTAGTCTTGGGCCTCCCAAATTCTCTTTGGCAGCAGAGCTACATTTATTTGTTCGATTGTTTTTGTTTGTTTGAAACCAAGAGCTGCTCTGCCCACAATCTCACTGGCTCCTCTGCCCTCCCCCTGTCCACCCTACTGCCCACCTCCTGCCCCAGGAGCTGGGAACTATTTGGTAACTCCTGTTGCAATTTGCCTGCCCATTTCACAGATGGGGAGCACTTCATTGGAAGTGATCTCTTGCCCACAGACTTAGAGTTGGGGGCCAACCAAGGCCTGAGACCACTACATGTCAGGGGTACACACACAGGAAGGGGTGCACAGGGGCAAAGCAGAGGAGGGATGGAGGCTGACTTTGGGTTGACAGCCACGGAGGAACAGCCCAGCTTACAACAGACTAGGAAAGAAAAATGACCACACCTCTGACCTCTGGCCATGGGAATCACCACCTCCCTTCCCCAGGCAGGAAAGCCTGGAGCTATAAGCTGTGAGAAGCTGGATACTAGCCCACAGTCCTTTGACCACACAGCCTTCTGAGACCCTGGAACACAAGCCCTCTGCCTTGTGGCTTTCTTGTGTCCCCAGCCCCACTTCCCTCTGCCCACAGGCCGGGCCATATTTGTGCACATTACTGAGTAATAGTGTGTGTCCTGGGAACCCATGTGACCACACAGCCTGGACTGTGAGGCCAGCATGGACTTCCTGTGCCAAGATCCCTGTGCTGCCCAAATTCCCAACATTTTTCTGGACAGTTCATGGCTTTTGACACATCAGGTGGGTCTGTGGTGTAAAAAGAGGTTAAGAACAGCTGCAGCAGGAGAGGAGCGGCCTCGAGGCCCTGGGAGAAGGGCGAGGGGAGGGGGAGAGGAGCCACTCTCATGGGCATTGTCACCCTGCCAGAGGCTTTGCCCATGTTATTTGGTTTTGTTTCACTGACTTGTGATGCTGGGTCACTGTTTCCATCTTACAGATGAGAAAACTCAGACTCGGTGGTGTTAGGTAGCTCGCCTGAGGGTGCAGCACAGCTGAACAAGCCAGGTGGGACAGAGGTCAAGGCAGGTGTTGTCCTTGCTTCTGCAAAGGACCCAGCTCCAGCCCTCAGCAGCCGGTGTTTCAGAAGCCCCCTCCACTCACCCACACCTCAGCTTATGTCCCTGGCTCCTGGTCCCCAGCATTATTTCAGCAGCCAGAGAACCTTGCAGGGCCACCGCAGTCGCCTCTGAGGTTCATTTCTTCAAAGTAGGAAATAAAGACCGAAGCTGGCCCCGCTTCTTGAAGTTCATATGAAGGGATGGGGAACAGACTGCATACAGGAGATCCTGGGTTTTATCCCTAGGGCCTAGCACATAAACGGAAAAGAAAGACTAAATTAACAGAAATCTTCCAGGTATGGTGGCACATGCCTGTAATCACAGCTAGTGAGGAGGCTGAGGCAGAGAATTATGAGTTCAAGGCCAGTCCAGGAAATTTATCAAGACTCTGAGTCAAAATTAAAGCCTGGGATGGTAGCACAGGCCTGTAATCCCAGCAATCTGGGAGGCTGAGGCAGGAGGATCACAAGCTTGAGCCTAGCCTGGGCCACTTAGTGAGACCCTGTCTCAAAATAAAAAGTAAAAAAAAAAACAAAAAAAGGGCTGTGCATAAAGTTCAGTAAGAAGGCCTTGGGTTCGATCCCCACTAACACATGCACAGGCACACAGAAAATAAAAACAGAAAACTGTATATTTTTTTATGGACAGAAGTCTAATTGGGAGATAACAGTATAAACCTAGCAAGGCTTGTTCATTCAGACCCTTCTAGGTCTGTGTGTTTTTGACATTCTTTTCCTCCAGTGTACAGGGGGTTACCGCTGGCTCCCAAAACTGAGCTATGACCTGCTAAGAGGAAAGTCAGAGAGGCCTTCTGCTTCTGTAGTTTCCTCAGATACCACAGTGCCATATTTTAGATACCATGTCCCGAAATTCATCGCCCCCAGACCCTTGTCCCTCCTCAGACCAGGGGAACCTCTGTTCCAGCCGTACTTAACACCACCTTACTTGGTACTGCTCACTTCCATCTGCCTCCCTTCCATTACAAGGACCCCACTGTACACCCGGATGGGCCCCCAGTGGGGCTTCCTCCTGGGTACCTGGCAGCTTCTCCTTAAGATCCCACAGCTCAAAAACTTCCAGGGCAAAGGATCCTGACGTTGGGTCATCTACAGCAAAAACACAAGTGAAAACCAGTAATCGACCTCATCACAGGAGGGGAGTTTTCCACATTCTGCCCCCATGGAGGCACAGCCACTAGGACTGAGGCTGGCCATGCTTAGCTTCATGGTTGGGAAAACAGAGAGGTGAAGCATGGGGGCTGTCTTGGGAGAGGTTCATCAACCAGGACCTGCAGGAACCGAAGAGACTTCAGATGCCGATGTGGGTCCCTCCTCTCCCTCAGCTGGAAATAAAGAGACAGGGTTTTCCTGGTGCCCTGAGGGATGTACTGTAGCCACCTCCTTGCCAGGGATCTGGGGGAGGCTGAGCTGGCTCCAGGGAGCTGTACAAGCTGCTCTGGGGGACACAGAAGTTGGGTGGCACTTGACCTGGACACCCACCCCTCACCTCTGCACTTCCTCTGCTCTTGCAGGACCTGGGCATGGAGTCGACCTCCCTGGACGATGTCCTGTATCGATATGCCAGCTTTCGGAACCTGGTGGACCCCATCACACATGACCTCATCATCAGCCTGGCACGCTATATCCACTGCCCTAAGCCGGTAGGGCAGCTGTGGCCTAAGCCAGCCTGGCCCTGGGGTGTGAGGTGGGCGCCTGTTTGGACAAAGTCATTCAGGGCCCAAGGAAAATGAGCCCCCTCCTTCAGGCACCAAGAGGGTGGGCTTGAGGTACCCTCCTACTGGTACCATCAACCCTGGAAGGTTTTGTCGGGCCTATGGATAAATTCATTGCCAACATTTTAAAAATTAATACTTTATATAACCCCTATATTCTGCTGACCTTAAAAAGAGTGGAAACTCCAGCACCATGTGGCCTTCATTCCAACAGGGCTCTGGGGAACAGTGTCACATCGCCCCCACCACTTCACTCTTCCTGCCTGATCCCCCACAGCTCAACAGGAAATACTCCAGGGCTCTCCAGGCTCTAAGACGCTACTCAGCCCCTCTGGCTGAGAGATTCTGGCCCTGATCCTGCTGGCTTCCAGGATCCAGGCTTGGCTGTGGCCTCAGGGCATCAGACTGGCTCATCTAGGGCTTGTGCAGGGACCTGGGGGTGAGGGGTGTCCACCCAGGAGCTCTTCTCTATTGCTTGGTTCCTTCCATCCCTCAATTTCCAGCAGCTTCCAAAAGAAGCCTTTCTTCTCTGTTAGGACCAGGAGGCCAGAGCAGGACTAAGGGGTAAAGGAGGGAAGCATCCCATCTGAGCTGGATCTGGGGTAAGAGTTGGAGACACGATCTCTAAGCCCTTCCCTCTTCTGCATGGGCAGACCTGACCACAGTCACCCAGGGAGCTGCAACTTGCTCGGAGGAAAGGAGCCTCCTGGGCTGACCCTATCTGTGGCTTCATCTGGGCCCTATTCACTGGCTTCTGGGGCTGCTGGTGCCAAAACTCTGAGGTGGGGCTAGCAATGAGGGGCTGGGGTCAGCAGAAGGCAGGAATGCTGGGCTCAAGTAAAGCCAAGAGTGAAGGTTGGCAGGGGGGGCCACTGGAGGTGTGGGGAAGAGGAGCTGTGGGTCCCAAGAGCCATGAGGAGCCACCCAGCTGATACTGGGCCACCCTCGGCCTCTCACGCCTGGTCCAGCCTCTGGAAGCAGAAAGGTCCTGTACTACAGATGGGTCTGTCAGGAGGCCTTGCAGGGGTCAGACCCCTTTCTTTTCCAGAACAGGAATTGAAATGCCTACAGTTAAAAGGAATGACAGGCAATATGGCTCTCAAAAAAATATATAGGCAAGATTTCTTTCTTCCCCATTTGAGAGTTGAGGAAAATAAAATTCAGGTAATGCAGTAATCTGAGACATGGGCCTACACAGTAACTCAGGGCTGGCAAAGACACAAGAAGTAATTAACTGCTCTCATCAGACCCCATGAGACAGGAGCAGGTAAAGCAACTCATGCCCTCTGATCCTTCCCTTTAGTCTGAGTTGGGGCAAGAGGGGCACTAACTGGGCTTTTTTTTTCTTAGCAACAACAACAAAAAAAAACTTTATTAAGCTCATAAAGACAGACAGGTCTGGTTTTGCTCACCACTGTCTCCCTAGTATAGGCCACATGAATAATAAACATTACTAAATGTTAATAGAGGATTGAATAGGTGAACTGAGTGCTTACTATATACTAGGCACCATGATAAAGTGCTACAGAAATTTTTTTAAAAACTAAGCATTCTCAGAAGTCACAGTCTAGTCCAGGAAACTGATGTAAGCCAACTGTGATAATGTGATCTGAAAAGTGCCCTTTGTTCATGGCACGTAGTGCATACAACATCCTGCACAGTTCACACCCACACACGTGAGCACACACATAGGGCCTCAGGATGAGAGAGGAGAGAGGTGAGTAGAAGGGTGAAAAATGAATAATACAACCTGAGAAATTTTTCAGAGGACAAAATTATTTGAAAAGGATGGATAAGATCTCACCTAAGAGAAAAATGCATGCAAGAAGAAGACATTTATTAATTAACAAACTTGAGCAAGACCAGAGGTGCTGGAAATGCAGGCCCCTGAGAAATCAGAGGTAGCCAAGCTGCACAGAGGGATTGGGGACAGGAGGGAGAGGAGGGGGAAAGCGCTAGAAAAGCAAAGGGTAGCCAGACTATGTTGGACTCCTGACTGCCGGTGATCCCCAGAAATATAAAAGGGAGCCTCAGGAACATTGCTATAGCAAAGTGCCATAGACCAGAGGGGCTTATAAACAACAGAAATTTTCCTACCTGGGAGGCTGGGCCAGGAAGATGACAAGTTGAAGGCCAGCCTGAGCAATTTAGCAAGACTCTGTCTCAAAATATAATTTAAAAGGGTGGAAATGTAGTTCGATGCTACGGTGTTTGCCTAGCATGTGCCAGGCCCTGGGTTCAATCCTCAGTATAGAAAAAGAAGAAAATTTTCTCATTATTCTGGAGGCTGAAGTCCAAGATCAAGGTAGCTGGTGAGAGCCCTCTTCTTGGTAGCAGACTTCTACCTTCTTGTATCTTCACATGCCAGAAAGAGGACAGGAGAGCTCTCTGGCCTCCTGTTTTCAAGGCCATCATCAGGCTCCACCTTCACAACCTAACTGCCTCCTTGGGGATAAGGATTTCAACATGTGGATTTGGAGGAACACAAAGCCTCAGTCCATTGCACAGTTTGACCTTTCTCAGATCACTCGATTCCCTAAGCTTTGTTTTCCTCAACTCTAAAATGGGCACAAAAATCATCTCTCCTACCAAACTATTTTGAGAGTTAAATGAGATGATTAGCCAAGTGAGGTGACGAATGCCTATAATCCCAGCACTCTGGGAGACTGAGGCAGGAGGATCACAAGTTCAAGCCCAGCTTAGCAAGACCCTGTCTCAAACTAAAAAAATAAAAAGGATTGGGGATATAGCTCAATGCAAAGGCTCTGGATTCTAGCTTCAAGCCCCAGTATCAGAGAGAGAGAGAAAAGCTCACAAGAGACACTTGCATGTGCCTGGCACGTATGGCCTCCTGTGCTAAGAGGCCAAGTGATGACTGACTGACCCGTGCACATCTACTGGATGACAGTTGTGTGCTCAGGCCCAGTGGGTGGGTCAGGTGTGGGGTTATCAGCAAGTAAGGCATGGTCCCTGCTGCTCAGTCTTAAAGAACAACATGTGAGTCTCTGACTGGGATTCCAAAGATGCCAGAGTACACTGTGCCCACTGAAAGCCCAGGGACCTGGCCCATAGATCCCCTGCCCTGCCCAAGGCCATGTGGCAGGAGAGGCTCTCTTGAAGGACTTTCCCAGTGGTGGGTGAGGCTGGGGTGGGAGGTCCCAGCTGCAGAGACCTACCGCTGACATGGGCAGCCCTACTGCAGCCACCAGTGCTGGCCCAGAACTGACTGGGACTTCCTTTCTTACCTCTGTGCATCTGAGAAGCTCCCAGCAGCTCAGGTTGTGGGACTAGAAGTTGTAGACAGAGGCATCATCTCCAAGGTGGGTGTCCACCAGCTGTGAGATGGGAGAAAGGAAAATAGCTCTTCCTGTCCAATCTCGTGGGGAAGCACCACAGGACTGACATGCTTCCCACTGTTAAGGTGGCAGCCCCTTGGAAGAAGCCTGGCAAGTCCCAGCCACCAGGTGAGGCAGGGGCTGGATCTATGCCCTCTGCACTTGTCTGGGTGAAGGGCTGCAGGTGGGAGGTAGATCCCCAGGCATGTCTGTGGCTCTGAGCTTACAGACAAAATCAGCCTTGCTGGCCTAAGGATGGCCCTAAAAATGAGCCATAGTTCCTGGTCTTTGACCTGCTGTTTCTCTCTGTCTCTGCTGCCTTTTCCTTCTGCCAAAACCTGTCTCCAGAGCTACTGAAATAGCCTCTAACTGGGCTCCGGGCCTCCACTTTGGCCTTCCTACTTCCTGTACTTCCAGAGGGCTCATTTGTGCCATGGGTAAATTGGATTATTCAGATAGCTCACTGAAAATCCTTCAGTGTGGTATAATAATTTAAATAAAACCCTAGCTCCAGGGCTGAGGGCATAGTGCACTCAGTGGTACAGCTCTACTCAGTGATAGAGAAGTGCCTCACATGCGTGAGGCCCTGGGTTCCATCCCCAGCTCCACAAAAAACAAACAAACAAACAGCAAACCAAATGAGCCTTCTGTCTGGGACAGCACCAGCCACTTCTGGCTGCCCATCCTTCTGCTGCAGACTGAGTGTAATGTCCTTCCAGAGGCCTTTTTCAACCAGCCTACCTAATGTAGGCCTCCCATCCAGGCCTTGTCTCTTTATTTCCCCATGTATGTCTCCATCCCACTTACTGCTCTCTGAAATTATCTTGCTTATTGTGTTAGTCAGCTTTCCATTGCTATAATAAACACTGGAGATAATTAATTTAAACAGAAGAAAGGTTTACTTTGGCTCACAGTTTTGGAAGTCTCAATCAATGAACAATTGGCTGGCCCCATTGCTTCACATAGTGAAGGCAACACATCATGGCAGGAGCACAGGGCAGAGGAGGCCTGTTCACCTCATGGCCAGGTGTGAAAGGAAAGGAAAGCACTGGGGCCTTGTTTCTCTCTTTGAGGGCCCTCCGTTAATGACTTAAGACCTGCTACTAGGCCCCACCTTTAAAAGGTTCCACCACTTCTCAGTAGCACTAACCTGGAGAGGAAGCCTTTAACACATAGGCCTTTGGAGGACATTTAAGGTCCAAATGATAGTGCTTATTTATTTGTTGGCTGCTCTAAAGGGTCGTCGGTCTTTTTCAGTTACATCCTGTACCGGGCAGGAAGCAGGAAGCACATACCACTGTGAATTTTTAAGAGATTAATAAAGGGCTGTGAACAAGATAAAGGAAATCAGCAGGGGACTTTGAGACTCCCAGAGACCACAGCAACAGGAAATTGTTAGCACTGAGGGGTAGCAGCAGGAAGTTGTGTTGCTGGAGCCAGGATGAGATTGCTGCTTCCACACCATACCCCCTCATCTGTTGCTATGTAACAAATTACCCCAAACTTGATGGCTCAAAACAGCAGGTATGGCACAGTGGCCTGCACCTGTGGTCCCAGCTACTCAGGAGGCTGAGGCCGAAGGACCGTAGTAGCCAGGAGTTTGAGGCCAGCCTGAGAAGCATAGCAACCTCTCTCTGCCTCCCTTCCTACCCTTTTCTCTATCTCTCAAAAGAGACATTTACTATTATAGAGTCTCTACAGATGAGGAATTAATTCAGGGGCAATTTAGCTAGGTAGTTGTAGCTTAGGGTATCTCAAAACATTGGTCAGGGGCCAGGGATGTAGCTCAGTGGTAGTGTTTGCTTAGCATATGTGAGGCCCTGGGTTCCATCACTGTACTGAGATTGAAAAAAAAAAAAGACATTGGTCAGGGCTGCAAGGATCAGAAGGCTTGATGAAATCTGGCAGGTCCACTTTCAAGACGGCATGTTAGGGGGTTGGCAAGAGGCCTCCGTTCCTTGCCACATGGGCCTCTTCACAGGACAGCTTGAGTGTCTTCACATCATACTAGCCAGCTCATGCCCA